CACTGTCACTTCTGTAACTTTCACTGTCACTTCTGTAACCTTTCACTGTCACCTTCTGTAACCTTTCACCGTCACTTCTGTAACCTTTCACCGTCACCTTCTGTAACCTTTCACCGTCACCTTCTGTAACCTTTCACCGTCACCTTCTGTAACCTTTCACCGTCACCTTCTGTAACCTTTCACCGTCACCTTCTGTAACCTTTCACCGTCACCTTCTGTAACCTTTCACCGTCACCTTCTGTAACCTTTCACCGTCACCTTCTGTAACCTTTCACCGTCACCTTCTGTAACCTTTCATCGTCACATTCTGTAACCTTTCACTACCACCTTCTGTAACCTTTCACAACCACCTTCCGTAACCTTTCACTACCACCTTCTGTAACCTTTCACCACCACCTTTTGTTACCTTTCACTACCACCTTCCATAACCTGTCACTACCACCTTCCATAACCTGTCACTACCACCTTCCATAACCTGTCACTACCACCTTCCATAACCTGTCACTACCACCTTCTGTAACCATTCACCACCACCTTCTGTAACCTTTCATTGTCACATTCTGTAACCTTTCATCGTCACATTCTGTAACCTTTCATCGTCACATTCTGTAACCTTTCATCGTCACATTCTGTAACCTTTCATCGTCACCTTCTGTAACCTTTCACTACCACCTTCTGTAATCTTTCACCACCACCTTCTGTAACCTTTCACCACCACCTTCTGTAACCTTTCACTACCACCTTCTGTAACCTTTCACAACCACCTTCCGTAACCTTTCACTACCACCTTCTGTAACCTTTCACCACCACCTTTCGTTACCTTTCACTACCACCTTCTGTAACCTTTCACCACCACCTTCTGTAACCTTTCACTACCACCTTCTGTAACCTTTCACAACCACCTTCTGTAACCTTTCACTACCACCTTCTGTAACCTTTCACCACCACCTTCTGTAACCTTTCACTACCACCTTTCATTAACACCTTCCATAACCTTTCACTGTCACCTTCTGTAACCTTTCACCACCACCTTCTGTAACCTTTCACCATCACCTTCTGTAACCTTTCACAACCACCTTCCGTAACCTTTCACTCTCACCTTCCATAACCTTTCACTGTCACCTTCTGTAACCTTTCACTGTCACCTTCCATAACCTTTCACTGTCACCTTCCATAACATTTCACTGTCACCTTCCATAACATTTCACTGTCACCTTCTGTAACCTTTCACCGTC